ACCTTCTCCCTCACAGACACACACCAAATAAAGTTGGTGAAACTACATTGCACACTTTATTGGCATCACAGAGACTAAATCATTAGCAGCATCTGCAGCTCGAACCAACTTCAGAGCAGAATGCCCAATCCCTTTTCAACTGTGCAGATTCTTAATGGTCCAGTTTAAATAAAAAGCTGTCATATTCTCATTCTAAGACTCAGTACACCACCCCTCCCCCCCCCCCCCCCACCGTTGTATCATGCTTCAATCAGGATATCATTACCTATGAAACTAAAAACTAAACAACACCAGAATACTGCCTACAAGAATATAACTAGTCCAACCATGGATTCCAGGTCATTATTAGAAATCTAGAAATGGGAAGACAGGTGAGCACACGAAGGCTACAGAAAACCTCATTGTCCCAAAGCTTTTTAACACCATAATAACTTTAAAAAGCAATCTGTGAAGTTGAACTGCAGAGAAGACCATGAAAATTAATGACCAGATAATGTAGTAAGACATGGGAAGAAAGACGATAGGAAAAAAGCAAACAAATTCATTGTATCATTTATTCTCACTGGTAATACTGGTATTGAAACTCGGCGCGGACATCTGAAGATGGGCTTTTGAGAATGTCCAGAGTAGCTGCGGTGTCATTTGTAAACTCAGCTCAACTCAGCTTATGTCATGGTCTAATTTGTATGAAGACCAAACACTTGACACTCAAACACTACAGCAGTGTCTGCCTGGGGGCCTGCATTGAGTACTTTGGTACCAGTTTTAGTTGTCTCTGTAAGATTATGAATATTGATTGTTTCATTCACACGTATCTCTTCCTAGGCACTACTTGTACACAATTCTGTCAGCACTGGGCTTGTTTTATAACTTCTCGATTGTGTTGCTTAGAGGTTAGTGAATGCATTTAACAGTTTCATGATCCTTGGGGACAACGGTTTGATTTCTACACCAGACCAGTCTCTTGGTTTACAGACAGAGGCACAAGAATTGTACTATGGCAAATATTAGGGCCCCACCGGAGACAAACAGACATATATATATATATATATATATATATATATATATATATATATATATATATATATATATATATATATATATATATATATGTGTGTGTGTGTGTACATATTTATATATATATATGTGTGTGTGTTTTACACACACACACCCACCCACAAATGCATACTTACAGAAATCGCAATGAGAAATGTTAAAGCTGGTCAGGGTATGATACTTATGATCTACATTTTATTGGCAGCAACCTAATTTCTGTAACTTCCCGATGCAGATGATAGTCCTCATTCCTAACATTGTAAAGGGCAAAAACATTTAGTCCTTGTATGTCCTACAACAGTGAAGATCAAAACCATGTCATCAGTTTGAAAAACACTGTTCAGCAGAAGTTAAAATGAGGATGGCCATAGCAGAGCAGAGACTAAACAGCACTATAAATCTTTGGCTAAGTACCAGCAAGCAAATCAGCATCAACATTTTGAGAGGTTGCATCTTTTCTGTAAGCCACATACAGATGTGAGTTGTGGTCTATCTCTCAGTCGTTAAGAAAGAAGATAGGGACTTTTGAGCTGAAATGTTGTAGAAAGATTCTCAGAATATCATGGACAATAATAAAAAAGAGAAATACTGACATTTTTCAAGATATGAACCTCAAGGAAGATTGGTTGATAAACAGCATCTTGTCTCAGAAGCTGAAATATTTTGGTTATGTCAAGCATCATGGCGGATTGGAAAGAATAATATCAGAAGGAATGGTACCAGGAAGGAGGTGAAGAGGCTGAACAACACAAAGATGGGGACAGGATATAAGTGACTCTTTGAATATGAAAGTACACGAGGCGGGAGAGCTGGCAAGAGACCCAATTTCTTTCAGGTACACTGTGGTGAGAGCGACATTCTGCACAGGACTGCTACCTGATAATTAGATGATGATAATTAATGTTCCTTTTTGGAAGTCAAGATAGTTATTGAGACACCACCATTTTTGTTTCCTTAATTGTTCAAGAATCTTTGTGAGTGTTGAAAATTATTATTATGCATCATTACCTTGAATCGACCCAGCCTCAAATGGGCACCAGGATGGCTGTCCTGGGGAAGTAAAGACGGCCGGTGTAATGCTGACCACATTACCCACCGAGTGCCGATCGGTCTGTGAAAATATGGGTTCTCTTCCCATATGCCCGACGCGCCTAAAGGTGTTAAAGGGATCTTTACTACTTTTTACTTACCTTGAAATGTTTAATTCTGTATTTAATTAGTATTGTGTTAATTAATGGCAGCTGAATTATTGCAGTGAAACTGATCTGCGACTGCCCTGAGAAACTTCAATCCTAATCAAGGTGAATTTTTTAAAACTTTGAGCTTCCAGGTGACCCTAGCTTAAAATGGATATCAGGGAAATAAAGATGGCTGGCATGATGTCTGTAAAATAGTGGGAGTGGGGGGGGGGGGGGATTTTTTTTTGGTGAAGTGATTAAGTTGTTTGCCTCACTCACCCTCTGAAGGTAAAGGGTTCATTTCACGGCTGTGTCATTCAGTTCATGAGTGTAATTTTTATGGAGATCCTAGGGATCCTTACCAGCACAACAGAGTTCCACAGAGAACAGTCCTTGTGGAATAAAACCAGGTGCACTGAAGTACATCCTCTTAACTTAAAGTGTCGTCTTTTGCTTCTTTTTTTTTTTTTCATTTACATTCACCAGCTGTAAACTCCGGCAGAAAGTTCTAGTATTTGTCCACCTATGGACTTTAGCCTTGTTCCGGAACCTAAGTGTTGCATGCACATCTGATTTATAAATCTGGCTTATTTGTATGCAGACTGTTGGTTTCTTGCCTGGCAGGCAGGTAACTTGAAGTATAAAATATTAAGTAAAGCATCAAAAGCTTGATGCACCAATGGCATGAGAAGGGTCCTTTAATTTACCATATAAAAATATTAATTAGTATCTCACTAAACTACATATATTATTTGCTAGGGCCTACTCAGAATTGTAGAAATTTAATGGTATGAATCAATAATGTAGAGCTTTGGGAGTGAACTAAACAAATTTCAGTGAATCAAGTGGTGAAGAAGAGATGTCGGCACTGGATATAATGGACTTTCAGAATACCTGAGTACAGAACCTGGTAGCAGTGAATAACTAGAAGGTCTTTACACTGGAACCCACAGTTTCACAGAAATAAAGACAGACCAAAAGACATAGAGAGGGAAACTAGAGAATTAAGTGAAAAAGAATAGGGAGGACATGGGGGAAAGGGCATAAAATAGAGAAATACCTGACTGCTTGGCATGAGTTGGTTGAGGACCTGTGCTTTATTGACGGATAAAGAGCAGAACAAGGAGAATATCTTGTTGTCTACAGCCACAAGATGAAGCTTATTCTTGTCTGTTTCTGTTACTATTTTAGCTCACTAGGATGCTTTTTTCACACAGGTGCATTAAAATGTCAGTAATAGTGTTATGTAAAGCTGAGGAAACATGAACAACAGATTACGCAATTCATTAGCAGGAAAAAGGTCACTGCATCTTGTCTGGTAGTTTCTATGAAATGCAAGCAAGCTATTTTTCCAATCTTAATTTTCTACAGTATGTTTGTGCATATTTTCGGTGCTTTATTAATATATCCTACCCCAAACAGGAAATCCACAGGGCATGGGGCAGTCTATTTCAGGGGGTAGTAGATAGGCTGCATGCAGTTGTGGGACCTAGGCTGCACTTTCTCGTGGGACGTAGGTGGCTTGGGGTTAGAGCCAGTTTTAGATTTTTTAGGGTTGTTAACGGCATCAGAAAGCCGGGAAACCCATTCTTACCACCCTCTAAAATGTTGGACTGTCCTGTGATGTCATCTGGGGTAGGATATTAATAAAGAACCAATTGTTCTTCCTCTTTGCATTCACCAGCTGTAACGTTTGTTTATTCACTTCTGGACTTTATCTTGCTCCAGAACTTGAGTTTTTTTGCGTACGTCTGTTTTACAGATCTGTCTTCTTTGTAGGCAGACTGTTAGTTTCTTTGTACATGTTGATCTTATATTTATCTTACTCTATGGGGGAGAATTTGGAATTAGTTTCATAAAAAATAAATTATCTGTTTTCTTTAGGGCTGCTGTAGTGTGGTAGCTAAATTCTTGCTTGCTGACCCAAGGTCTTGGGTTCAAATCCACATCAAGAGGGATTTTAAAAAAAAAATAATTTACATTGACTCCCAGATAACTCCAGTTTGAATTGGGTACTGGGAAATGTCCTGGGAAGTAAAGGTAGCCAGCATGTTGTTCACCATACCACCCATTGATTTCTTTTTTGTCTGTGCCCACAATGATAGCTGTGGGAACACTCACACTGGACAAATAGACATCCTAAGGACCATTTATGAATGGGTACTGATAGAAGACACGAGATTGGGTGAAATAACAATGTGTAATGATAGGTAAAAGAGGAATTAGATGTGGTTCTGGCACAGAGTGATGTATGAGAGGAAGAGAATTACATGTTTATGATCATTGTGCTGTAGGAACAGTTAGCATCTACAACTGTGGTTTTTTAAGCTGTTTAAGGTAGCACCCTCTGGAATATATGGCAAGAACCCTAGCCCCACCCTTCTTTTCCCTTGAATAAATGGCAAATGATAAAAGAACATGTACAAGAACTACATATCTGGGTGTGATGATATCCAGATTGGGTTTGACAGAAAAGGGGTTTCCCACAACTCACACAGGGACAAATGAAAATAAATATCTAAATACTGCTTGGCAGAAAAGGGGTTGCCCCACAACTTGCACAGGGACAAATGAAATAAATATCTAAATTTAGCTTGGCAGAAAAGGGGTTCCCCACCATTGTTATAACTGATAATCTTTCTGTATACTTTTGCTTGTTTGTTTCAGATCTTTTCGACCAGTCAAATATCATGTTGAATTGTGAAAATTTTTGGTATAAGTATATGGCAGTTTAAACCCTATCTTCTGGTGGTGTTATGCTCAACCATGTCAAAGGTAGGTCTCACCAACTGGTCAGATACAAATGTCATAAGCTCTACGTCTCTGGCCACGTTCAATGTGACATTTCCAGTTAGTGAAGTGTTTGACTCCAACAATGTGACATTTCCAGTCACTGAGGTGTTTGACATAGATTATCACCACAGTTGTGACATCAGCACCAAGTATGGCATTGTGACAAGCATTGTTGCTGCAGTGTCGTTTCTTTTTGGAATACTGTACACATTTTTTGGTAAGTGAAATAAGTAAACTTCTGACCTTCTCTTCCTTTTCCTGTTCTTTTACTTCTCTCTATTTTTTTTAATTCTTTTTATTTTTCTCATTCCTCCTTGTCTCCTTTGTGTTCTACTTTTATTTCTTATTCTACTTTTCTCTAATGCTTTTCCTCCGGCTTCTATGTTTTTTTTGTTTTACTGTTTTTTTTTTTCTTGTCAAATGTTTCCCCTCCTCCTTTCTTCCCAGACATATATATATAAAACTATTGCTCTGCAGTATGGGATGGCTGTTCCAGTTATTAAGCAGCTCACGTCACTATAAAAGCACGCCATTCACTTAATAAGTAATAATCATGGTACAGTCGGTTCCGAAACATATGAAGTTCTTCTGCTTCTATCACTTCGTGAACATCTACTTTTCAGTAGGCATAGCAAATGCCTAAGCATATTACATATCAATAAACCTAATATAGACCTATACAAAGCAAGTTTGGCGTACTCCGTAGCTCAGTTGTGCAACTATCTTCCACAGTAAATCAAAAATTCCACTAGTCCCAATACATTAAAAAAAAACTTCAAATATTACCTAAGCACAGATTGTGTGCCCCCCATAGAAGAAAAAACATTTAGAAATAGTGCACATTTGCCCTAGATTTGTTACAACTACTACAGCCTACTCTGGTTAGAAATATGCACATTCCAGTGCTTGCATTGGATACTCTGAAGCTGTTGATAATGAAAGGAGGGAGACTAGAAGGGCAGAATGATAGATGGGTCTGCATACCCAATTCTGAACCCTTTAAAAATAAAGGTTATTCATTCATTCATTCTTTCTCCTTCCGTTCATTCTTCTTACTATTTCATTCCTCCCTCTTCCACTTGGTAAGGCAAAGAAAGAAATAGTATAGAATAGAAGTTCCAAAGATGGGCTAGATAGCCTCTCTGTTAGCAGCATAGTTTACACTTAAAGTCTAAAGGATTGACTTTTTTGCACTGGGTTTTATTCCATATGGCTCGGTCTGTCTGCACAGAATGGCCAGCTGCCTGCCAAGAGCATATCACAAAATCCAGAGCTTCAGTAATGATCCCCAGAGATCTCCATAAAAATAACACACATGAAATGAACCCGCTACCTTCAGAGCATGAGGCAAATGGCTTCATCGCGGAGACCCCTAATAGTCTATAGTGTTAGAGTACATGCTCATCAGGAATTAGGTGCCAAATTGCAGGGACACAAAACATACAAATCCTGCCTGATGTTTGTTTTTTAAATTATTCTTTTTTCTTTAGGCTACAGATTTTTCAAGGCCATCATGTTCCTCACAGGCTTCATCTTTGGATCTGTGCTAACCTACATGATTATACTGGAGCAGAACATCCTCCCACCCGAAGGAGTATTAGGATGTGCAGTAGGTGCTGGCATACTCTTGGGACTAGTCACCATGCTCATCCAGCAGACAGGCCTTTTCCTGACAGGGTTTAACCTTGGAGTAGCCACTGTGACAGTCATCCTGGTGGTGGTGGAGCAGTTTGTGCACCCTCCCAGCAAATGGATCCCCATAGGAGTGTTTCTCTTGCTGGGGATCATATTTGGAATCCTGAACCTGAAATTTCAAAAGATACTGACTGTGATAGGGACCAGTGTGATTGGGTCAGCCATTGGTTTGGCTGGCATTGACTATTTTGTGGAACACTGTCATATGACTCTCTACCTCTGGGATCGTGTGCTGGCTCAGGAATCTTCAGGCCTGTGCTGGTTTAGTTGGCTGATGTTTGCACTGTGGCCTGTGTGCGCTGCTGCTGGTACATTTGTTCAGTGGAAGTTCACAAGTGTTGGGGTAGACCACAGATTAGGTGAGTTCACTAGTTATAGATGTTACCATTGTATAGGTGATTTTACTAGTTATGGATGTTATCCTTGTATAGGTGAGTACACTAGTTATGGATGTTACCATTGTATAGGTAATTTTAATAGTTACGGAGCAGACCATATTATGGTTCAGTTTCTGGTTACAGTTTATTCTGTAGGTGTACATGTTTACTCTTTATTATTTAAGCTGTACATCTGTAAGTTTACTAGTTATGAAACAGATAAGTGTGCTAGTTGTTAAGCTGATAATTACAGTGGATAGGTAATGCATGAGTTTGGAATAGACTAAGTTTACTGATTGGGGATTACACCATTGCTAGATAAGTTCTGGGGAAAGATAAAAATATACAGAAATAGTGATAGTAAATAAAACACCAGTTTAGCAGATCATTACGGTTGAAGGAGGGATATTAAAACAGGCTAAGGAGTTTGAGTACCTAGTCAGTGTTTTCACTGAGGATAGACTGGGCAAAGAAATAAAAAGCAGAACTCAGAAGACCAACAATATAAATTACCACACATTAAAAACCTACCTTTGAGGCATCAAAATATCAACATGCCCACAAAAAAGCAGCTGGGAATGAGCTGTTCATACCAGCTTTGTGCTATCAGTGTCAGACATGGACAGCCCTAGAAAAGCGAAATGCAAAATTGCATCATGTGAGATGAAATGTATAAGAAATACGTCAGAAAAAAAAAAGAAGAGACAGTTACCAGCGAAGAACCAAGATCAGTAGTAGGTACAGTACTGTTAAAAATTTTTTTAGAACATCAAAGAATCCAATTGCTCATCATCTGCTCGGAATAGAACAAAATCAGCCAGCAGCTAAAGTGTTCTGTGTCAGAACAGCAGGCTACAAGTCAAGAGGCTGACCAAGAAAGAGATGGGAGGGGTTAAAAGAGACCCTACAGAAATACAGTATAACATTATCACAAGCTACACAACTAGCAGAAGACAGGAAACTGCATCTAATTAGAGGTGTTTCCTTTGAAGTCGTAGTGCATCTGCTTGAGGTGATGAACCAGCAGTCTGCATACAGATAAGCCAGGTCTGTAAAACATATGTACGTGCAAAACTCAAGTTCTTGAACAATTCTATAAAGCCTAGTAGTGGGCGAACAACGAGGAGTTTACAATCTGTGAATGCTAAGAAGAAAAAAATATTTTTAGTGATTATGGTGTCAGACGTTTATAGATTCTTGCTGGTTCAGAAGACTACACTGAACCGAGCTAGTGATTGAACCTGCACTATATCATTCACTATGCCATTGTTAACAAACCCCCACCTCTCTCTGTAACTGTGTTTGTATATATGTTTGTGTGTGTATATGTATATATATATACTCCCTGTTGCTGTATACATATCTGTCTCCTCCCTCTTTCCTTCCCCTGTCAATGTGTATGTTTATGTGTACGAGGCACATTTATTAAGTAAGTCCATTTTTGACCGCAGCGACAAGCACCAATGGAAAACATTAATGTGCATATGCAGTATGTTTATGTTGTTCATTAGCCAGTTGTGTGCTATTTTTTCACTGTCGAAATCTTTGTTTGCCTGTCGCATCATACATTTCCCCCCCCCCCCCCCCCCCCGTCACTTTATACATCTCTTTCCATGTCCCTGTTGCTTTATGAGGTTTTTATTTTATTTCTTCTCCCCCCCCCCCCCCCCCCCCCCCCCCCCACATGTCACATCTCTTTATTTGTATGCATCTGTCTTTTCTCCCATGTTGTCCAAAATATATACATTGAACTATTTCTGTGTGATTCGTGCTGGATTATTATTTCTCTCTTGATTATATATAGCTTTAAAAGGCTGGCGACAACGAGGGTCTCATCTTCAACAAGTGCGAGCCAGTGGAAGAAAGGAGACCCAGCAGGTCCGCTACCGTCACCTTTATCAAGCGCGTCGGGTCAAGGGGGATGTTATATCTCAGGTGAGAGATAACTGTTATCTCCACTGCTGTTAAGTTATGTCTGGAGGAGGTTATTTAAAGAGACCCAAGCAGTTAAATCATACCCTACTTAACTCTGTTGCTGTTGTTTTATATTTAAGTAATGTTATCCCTACCAGAGATCTTAGGCATTTGCGTATGCTAGGCTGTGACATAGAGTGCAGTTGAGAAATGACATATTGGCACTCAGTAAATTCCCATAAGTGATTCACCCCCAGCTTCAGCAGCCAGGGCTAAGTTCCCATACTGGTGAGTTCAGTAGCAGTTTCATCATATGTCTGTCTTGCCTTTCCTCTGATTGTTGAGTGTCTCCATGGCTGGCAGAGTGGTTTGCTTGCCTCACGCTCTTAAAGTCATGGGATTATTCCGGGGCTGTGTTCATTTTACGGGTGATATCTGTATGGAGATGACAGGTGCTGCGGAGCTCATGCTTTGTGTGTCGCTTTTGGCAGGTGGCCAGCCATTCTGCAGAGAGGCCAAGCCAGAGGGAATAAAAGCTGGTATAATGAAGTCGGTCCTCTCAACTTTTAACTTTAATGTTGACTGTCGGCCCAATCTCCTGGTTACTCCCAGCTGCAGCAGTGTCTCTCTATACCACAATTGTCAATTGGCTCTTCCACATTCATTAGTTGATCCCAAAGGACCTTGACCATCTCTATAATGTTATGCATTAGTTCACCACTAGTTAGTGTAGAATCAGCCAGTCTGCCTTCTTGCTGTAATCAGGCATAGTAGACTACCATTTTCTTCTGCCTTTTCTTTCCAGAAGTTTTTTAACATCACTGTGTGGGTTCCAGGACCCAAACCCCATGGGGGGGGGGGGGGGGGGGGGGGGGGGTGATAGATCCACTGCCCCCAACAAGCATGTCATGAGAGTGGACTGATTAGGGGGTTTCTTTCACACACAAAGAGCAGCCTTTAAATATGCCAGCACTTGTGGTCTCCCACCAGAATCGCAGCTCACTGTCGATGCAATCAGTCAGTTCATGGAAGTAGCATGTACCTGCCATTCTGAGCATAGCTGACCACCTGCCATTTTAGTGCAGTCAACACATCATGGGCACAGCAGTTTAAAAAACATTCCATTCGAAATCCATAGCTGCAGTCTCACACAACAACAACTCAGCCCAGTAGCTGGGCGATGGTACTTTTAGACTCTCGGTCCAAATATGGGAAAATTGCATCAGCAAAACCTAGCTGGAAATGAATAACTTTTCAGAGCATCAGCCGTTAGCTGGCTATCGACAATTTTGTGCTGTTGTACTCATATAAAAGTTGAGGAGAAATAGACTAAACACAAATGTTGACAACAATGGTCCAGAAACTGCATGCTATCATTGTGGAAGACTTTTCTTAACGTGGACGGGTCTTGCTAATCACACACACCATCGCCATGGGCTGTGAGACCCATGCTTCCCCATAATACAGAAAACACTGTTGTTTGGAAAGACGGAAAGGTGCCAATCAATCAAAACAGTAAAACATATATTGAGTTGTGTGTAAAATAACAAACCAGGCTTTTGTAGCTCATCTTATTCTCCTGCTGTGTTCACCGGCGAAAAGTCCTGGTTAGTCTTCTATTTAAACTTTATCTTTGTGCCAGGGCCTGAGGTTTTGCGTGTACCTCCGTTTTACTGGTTTATTTGTGGGCTGTTGGTTGTTCCTTGCCACTCGGGCAGAAGCACTCTGACTCTGAAGGAAGCTGTCAAATAGTCGACTCTTGCAACATGCTTTGCTTTTTGGTACAAATAAGCAGAGGGGGAACGTTTGAGGCCGTTAAATATTATGAACTAATCAATCTATCTACTTCTTTCTATGAGTGCCGATCAGTACACTTTCTGTTAATTAATTCATAATATTTACATTTTGGGGTAGGCAGTGGGTCTATTCTTGTTATCCCCACAATGGGGCCCTGGAACCCACACTGGGAGCTTTTGCAGTATGCTTAGGCTAAGCATCGTATTTTGTGAGGTGCTCAGTGTGCATAGACATAGGTTATAACACATGATGCCCTGTCTGGGACCAAATTATTTTAGTAACAGTTGAAGAATTTGTCCATGCTTTGAGTATATAAGGCAAGCCCCATATTTGTGCAGACCAGTCAACACTGTGTGGGAATCATGGTAGCGTGGTTGCCAGTCATTTACAAACATTTCCTGAACACCAGCAACTTTTAATTGTCTAATAAAAAATACACTTGTTTTTTTTTTTAAATTTAGAATTTCACTCACAGTGTCCAGCACAAACTGCCGCCAGCTATGCAGAGTCTGACAGCTCTAACTACTGAACAAATTAATGACGATGACAGCACAGCCACAACTACTCTCACTCAAGTCACATGATCTCTGCAGCAGACGTTTAGACTTACCTCACCTTGACCTCTTCACCAGCCATTCCTCCAAAAGTCGATTTATGTGATGTTCAGTTTACTTGTGCTGTTTTGTCAGACTAATTAATATTTCATACACAGTCTGTCTGGTTTCTTTTTTCTATTTATATTTTTAAAATAATGTCAACAAGCTTATTCTTGAATTGTGAGTTAGCTTTTTCAGTCCCACGTGGTTGTTGTCACAACACATCCTCACCCAAAGTTTATACACACTAAGCTAACAATATCTGAGTCCTCATGTCCTCACCCAAAGTTTATACACACTGAACTGACTATATCTGAGTCTTAGTAAGGTACCTCTGTTACATAATGATTAAGAGCTGCAGTGGAATCATGTGGAGTAATGTAAAGGAAATGTGAGACAGATGAATTTAGGAGGAGTGAAGAAATAAGAGCAACCTCTAGTATCACTAGTTACAAGACACATTCTGAGAAAAGATGACAAGAGAATCATCAAATGTGCTTTGAAATGGGAAATGCAGGAATTGAGGATATTAGAATGTCCAAGAGAAACCCTAAGGTGGATGTTGATGAGAGAAGCTGAAGGTGTTGGACTCAATTCCATTCATGATATCAAAGTGATGGCACAGGATGGAATGAAATGGAAAAATAGACAGCGAACAGTGTGACATATAATGGCACAAGAGAACAGTCAGCGAATAGTTAGTCTGGAGCAGCTAATAACTGTCTACAGCAGGGCTGTTCAACTAAGTCTACTCCGGGGCAACAATTATGAAAATGGGTATCATCATGAGCCACAGGCCCAAACCCCAGCATACAATGATCATTAATACAATAATTTCGCAATGGCCCGCTTGCCTCCATGAGCCAGATCTGGTCCGCAGGCCACCCGTTGAACATCCTTGGTCCACAAGGTAAAGATTTATCAATAAACATATGTTAAGTTGGCTGGTGCTGCAAGAGTTAAGTGAACACCAAACCTTGATGTTTGGTGTGATCACCCTAATTCTATAGTGGAAATGTACAACAGATCAGTGAACACCAAACCTTGATGTTAGGTGTGATCACCCTAATTCTATAGTGGAAATGTACAACAGATCAGTGAACACCAAACCTTGATGTTAGGTGTGATCACCCTAATTCTATAGTGGAAATGTACAACAGATCAGTGAACACCAAACCTTGATGTTAGGTGTGATCACCCTAATTCTATAGTGGAAATGTACAACAGATCAGTGAACACCAAACCTTGATGTTAGGTGTGATCACCCTAATTCTATAGTGGAAATGTACAACAGATCAGTGAACACCAAACCTTGATGTTAGGTGTGATCACCCTAATTCTATAGTGGAAATGTACAACAGATCAGTGAACACCAAACCTTGATGTTAGGTGTGATCACCCTAATTCTATAGTGGAAATGTACAACAGATCAGTGAACGCCATAAGCTTGACGTGGTCACCACTAATTCTATAGGGGAAATGTACAACAGATCAGTGAACGCCATAAGCTTGACGTGGTCACCACTAATTCTATAGGGGAAATGTACAACAGAACAGTGAATGCCATACGCTTGATGTTAGGTGTGATCACCCTAATTCTATAGTGGAAATGTACAACAGATCAGTGAACGCCATAAGCTTGACGTGGTCACCACTAATTCTATAGTGGAAATGTACAACAGATCAGTGAACACCAAACCTTGATGTTAGGTGTGATCACTCTAATTCTATAGTGGAAATGTACAACAGATCAGTGAACACCAAACCTTGATGTTAGGTGTGATCACCCTAATTCTATAGTGGAAATGTACAACAGATCAGTGAACGCCATAAGCTTAATGTGGTCACCACTAATTCTATAGTGGAAATGTACAACATATCATTGAAGACCATAAGCTTGATGTTTGGTGTGATCACCATTATTTCTATAGTGGAAATATACAACAAATCCACCAGTATTATTTCGTTGATTGTCTCCAGGAGAAGACCATCAGTAACTCTATGTCGCCTCTCATGAGAACCTTTAGATTCTGAAGGGAACCTCATACAGACCATGGCAAGATAGTATTAACCTGTGGCTAACTGATCAGTGATGTTGAGCATCATCAGTTAGCAGGTCTTTTGCAGAATGTTTAGGAGAGGATGGCCGAACGGTTAAGGACGCAGGGCTCTAATGCAGGAGACCCAGTTTCAATCCAGAATAAGATGTCAGGGGCGAAAATGAAATCCTTACCTGCACACTATGTGGTGGCAGAACTAGCTGTGTGGCCCCAAATACTCAGGTGGTAAATGCATGCAGTAGTTTTGCCACCATAGTGGTCCACTGAAAGCTGCTTGGTCCATTGCCTATTCCCCTGCTGCCTCGTGCATTTGTATGCTGAAGTTCACGCTAAAGACGCATGTCCTGAAACTTTATTAGCACCACTCTCAGGTCTACATCATTGTTGACTTGGGTTACTTCACTACAGCTTTTATTAGTCTCTCTCTATAATCTATAATTTGAGTCAAACGGCCCTCTCACATGTGTCGCCTAAGACCATTGTAAAACATTTATTCAAGTTATGAAGGAAATTAATTGTTTCGGGATCACCACAACATGAGGGAACTGTATTTAAAGGGTCACGACATTAGAAAGGTTGGGAGCCACTGCTCTGGTGCAATTACTTAATGTCATAAAACGTGATTTCTAAATGTTTTCTAGTTTTATTTTAATTCACTAAATTTACAATTCCTTCCTTGTCCTATTGACAACATTACCTCAATAGCTGAATAAATATATCTTTAGCAAAAAAACATTTCCATAGCTCCATAATAATGTTGATATTGATAATGGATGTGAATGATATCTGCAGCAATGAACCTCAAGGGCTCAGAATGCTAAGAAGAAGAATTACTATCTTACCTCTGTATATTATACACCGATCCATCAGCCTCATCCGTTGTGATGCCACTCATTTTTTTATCTGTGTTGTTTATACATCACATTTTTTTTAAGGTAATGTTGCTAAGTTAGAAACTAATTCATGCTGTAAATTTGAAGATATACAGTAGATGTAAATTGTATCTTATGATGTCAGTTAAATAAAGAGCATTCATGAAAAACCGGTTCAAGCTTTATCTCAAAAACTTGAAAGAAATAACAATAGTTGTGTCAGAATTAAACAAAGCAATCATTTTAAATGAATTGGGCACCATGGGTTGGTCAGTAAATGTTGCCATAGGCATTCATGCAAGAATCTCATTGTTTAGGTAGGCGGTGAATGCCATCTGAAAAGAAAAATAAGAATTGTGTTTCCTCACTGAACCCTGTCAAGTGGTTACATCTATGAACACACTCTGCAATATTGCAGTTTTTTTTTTTTTTTACAAACAACCTTTTGAACTGTTGCAGTTGACACATCAAAATTTTCCTCTGCTGAACGTATGCTTCGACAGTGGCTCACCTGTATTGCTGCATTAATTTTGGTGATATTTTTGGGTCTGTTGCAACAATGTGTACTAAACCCAACCAATGGAAGCTTTGTCGTGAACTATGTAAAGTTCTCATGAAACATTTGTGCTTTCTGTCACTGTTGTGTTTGACACACATTAGTTACTGTACGCTGCCTGCATATAAATATCCACTGGTCAAAATCCTTCAAGTGATAGAAACTAAACAGTGCTATTTGATCTTTTTTTTTTTTTTTAGATTAGACAGATTTTGGATTAAATCCACCATTTTTTCAACAGTTAGAAAACAGAACCTGTTCGCACGTGACAACAAACATTTGCTCTGCTATTCATTTTCAGTACTTATCATGCGACTGGCATGATCTTGTTCAACGCACACAGTTATGTGCGATACTGCGCAAACAAGTTTCAAATGAATGCTCCTAATATCATGTGTTGTAAATTTTAACATGGTATATATAATTCTTATGTTGCTGTCATGTTTTGTAAGTTCTGCCATGTTTTGTAATTCTCATTGAGTACTATAGATTAAGGCATGTTCCCAAGCTTCTGGCAGGTGCAGTAGCTTCTGGAATGTGATGTAGATTCCAGCATACACTAGATTCTAGCACATGATGTAGATTCCTGCATACACTAGATTCTAGCACATGATGTAGATTCCTGCATACACTAGATTTCTAGCATACACTAGATTCTAGCACATGATGTAGATTCCTGCATACACTAGATTCTAGCATACACTAGATTCTAGCACATGATGTAGATTCCAGCATACACTAGATTCTAGCATACACTAGATTCTAGCACATGATGTAGATTCTAGTATACACTAGATTCTAGCCTGCGATGTAGATTCTAGCATATACTAGATAATAGCATGTTATGTAGATTCTGTCACGCACTGGATTCAAGCCAGGAGGAGCGATAGTTTTTTTTTTTAAATTTGTTACAGCTTACTTTTATTGTTTAGACAGCACCTGATTTATTGAATTATCTGCAAGTAAAAGTGCCACAAACAGACACTGGAATGAGAAACAAATGGATTGATAAAACTAGGACCTTGGGAAGTAAAGGAGTTGGTGTGATTCTGACCATGTCACCCACCATGTGCCAGTCAGTGTGTAAAATACAGGTCTAGCACTATATGCTCAATACACCTGAAGGCGTGGAAAAGGGCTCTTAACTTTACTTACTGTGTGTAATTTGTGACTTATGTAATGAGACCTTAGTCTCTTCTGCAGTGCAACTCTTGTACCACCATCTGAAAACCATGATTTGTTTTTTAAGATAAACCATCAGCCATGGAAATCAAATGTAGTATTTTAGGATCTTATATCAGTTGCATGTGCGAAAAAACATTGTAACGGACTCATCAAGCATGCTGAGGAAGGTCAGGACAGGCATGCTTCACTGCGGAGGACACTGGTGAGGAGTATTGGATTTTTTCACCTGGAGATGCCGGTGCATTGGGGAATGAACAGGCGATATACTGGCTGGCTCTGCACAACTTTGTGCACTACTGATGCATGAAAAGGCAG